TGGGAAGTACTGCAGACATTATCTACCTCTTAGCATCTCCGATAAATATCATCAATTATTTTAATAATCAGTTGGCAATGATTTTGATGCAAATAATTACTTTTAAACTCTCCATTACTAAAATTTTCCAATAACAATCACTATTATTAATAATATTTGGACAATGTAGAGATGATGTGGTTTATTCTACGATAGAATCAGGCTATTGGTGTTGTCCTATTTTTAATTTAAATGAATCATGATGAATAACCAGAAGTTGACAAAAACACAAAATGATGAAAAACTGATAATAAATATATTGTTTATTATGTATTTGAATAGTAGTGATGAAAGACATTTTCCGAGTTGGTGAAGTTAATGTTGAGATATGGTCCATGTTGAAAATCACAAAATTACTATTATTATGATAACAATGATGGTTGGTAGTTGTTCCGATGATGTACCAACTTGAATTTTTCCAAATATAATAACATTATTTCCAAATCATGATGAACAATTAAATTCCAAAAATTCCTATTATTACTATTATACAAATGATGCTGAGATGAAGTGCTGAAATTCTTCGAGTTTCATGATGTGAAACCACTCCAATAATCAACAAAGTCGTGATGTTACTGCTTGCCAATATTTAGTAAATTTACATCTAATAGGTTAATCTTTTTAACTTACAATCTCACAATACTTTTTAAGATATTCAAAACTTGGAGGTACGTTCAATAATATCAATGGTATCAACATTTTGAATCGAGTTCCAAAAATTACTGATCTTTCCTCCACATTCTTCATATATTTCACAAATGAATGCTCGTTCACCTTCTTTTCATTCAAAATATGTACAGTGTGAAACTTTCTCAAATTATCAGAAACTGTTTTGTAAATTTTGTATTGAACAGATTTTTTGGAGAAGGTTTCCAGCAATTCTTGACAATTTCTAATCTTGAATAATAACCAATTGGATAAGAGTGTTTTCCAGATTATTTCAAACCGATCGAGTTGATACCATCCCTTGCAGACTAACATACAGGACATGCCATCTCTGATGTCCAAATGTTCCATCACGTGCCTGAGTGTGTGTCCGGATGAATTTCATGTTGAGCCATTTTTTTTGTAATTGAAAAAGTTCTAGAATCTGGCAGTTTCGAACTGCTCCATTTCCACCTCTCTGATTATTCTTATTATTTCATTGTCCAAGAATTACTACTGTTCATCTTTTGTTTTTCAGTTCCGATCTAAATTGATGAGAAGATATGATAGGTGAGAATTTCCTTTTAATTTTTTAATTGAAAATAAATAAATTAAAAAAATGTCTCAACAACCGTCAATGAATCACACAACTTGGTTTGATCAAGATTTGCTGTTGGCCAATATATTTCTCTATTTACATCCGTATGAATTATTTGATAATTCTAAATTATCTTCATGTAGAAATGTTTGTAGATCATGGAATGGTTTAATTTGTGGTGAAGAATTTTGTAAATTTTATTTTGAAAACCTCGTTTTGTTGTTATTCGTCCGAACCTTTATTAATCAGTAA